CTTTTCACAGATCAGACATCATTCCAAAGTGATTTGTTGATTTTTATTACTTCAAATTCGACTCCAAAATGTGGGCCAAAATTCAGGTGTGGTGAATATTTTATTACACAGTTCTCAGGAGCCCCTTTGCTGTAAGGGTGGCTCCCAGGCTCCAGAATTCTGCCAGGTTCCTGCAACTAGCTGCAGGCACAGAAACTGTGCCAGACCCTGTCCAAAGGGATCCTACCACTCCTCACAAATGTCCACTGTCACACCCCAGACCCCCAAACCCAAGCTCCCTCAGCGTCTTCCCTGGCAGTCCTGGCAGAAGCAGATTCAGCTGCTCCTTAAACTTTCCAGGGAGGCCAGAAGCAGGGCCCAATGCACTGCCCTAAACCTTCTGCCTGCTGCAGTCAGCTTGTGGAACAAATCGGGAACAAACAGGCTCCCTCATCCTCGCCACGGCCCTTCACACAGATTTGAAAATGACTCTCAGGGTTCCTCTACATTTTCCTTTCATCACACCAAACAGCCCCAGGCCCCTTGACTGCATCTCACATGAAACGTTTTCCAGATGGCTCCCGATGTTTGCCACCCTCCTCCAGAGCATGTTTAACGGCCTCCCCAGAAACCACAATAAAGTGCAGATGCTGGTCCTGAGCAATAATCTCTACATGTGCTTCTATCAGCAGACTAGAACGGGACTGTCCTCTCTCTTGCAGAGGACACTTTGACTATTAATTCAGCCCAAGGCTACATTCACTCTTCCAGCCAGTTCACTGTATACTCGACTCGTCCTCAGCTTGAAGTCATAACGCTTTCCGTAACACATGCTGCCAAACAGGGCCTCGTCATCCAGTGCCTTTATAGTCACTTCAGGTTTTATCAATATTTAGTTTCACCTCATTTATTCTAGTCCAGTTCATGGAAATCATTTTTCAGCCTTATTCTGTCGTCTTGAATACAATGACCCTTTTCAGTATGATGCCACCTGCATAAACCTGCTGAGTATCCCTTCTAAATGCTCACCCAGTTCATGAATAAAAAATGAGGATCAGAACAGGGTCCAGAGAGGCTAAGGAAGTTGCCCGAGGTGTCACAGTGGATGGAGACAAAGCTAGGTCCAGCACACAAGTGTCTTGGCTCCTTATCCTGTGCTTGTTACCACTGTTACCATCATACTCTGCCCGGAAGCCCCAGGATGCCTCAGCAGCGCCCCCTCCCTGGCCCTCTGTCTTCTTATTGGTCCATCTGGAGCAGCTCTGGTTATGGAGGGGAACTCTGGGAGGGGAAGGGCTGGCTTCCTGGAAGGAAGATAAAGAAATCGTGTCTGGCTGAAGGATTCCAGTTCACTAAATCACATCAGCTTCCTAGAGCTACAACTCTATGCTCTTCAGATACAAGCCTCCGGAGAAGCCCACTCAACTAACCATAACAAGCAGAACAGAGCCACCCGAGAGAAAGAGGACAGGACAGGGGAAACTACAGGTGGCCTGACATACCCTTGAGTTCTAGGAGTGATCTATACAAAGTATGACAGTTGCTTAAAGATGGTTTCAGCCCCACACCCTCTTCTACACAATTCTCACAGATTTGTCCTGGAAACATATATCGTAGCTTGAAGAACCTGACAAAGATAATGACTAGTTAAATGACTGACCATTGGCATCCACCCTTGCTCTGAGTATAACTCTAGACAGCAGCATCAAGATCACTGGGCAAACCTTTCAGGAAAACAGGTCAAGGTTAGTGTGAAGTGTTTTAATGAACATAGCTATTCACAAGCAAGACCACCTGTCTGTAAAACAGTGAGCTTCTCATCACCGAATGTCCTTAAGCAGAGGCTGGATAAATAAATGGCTTTTGTCCCATTCAACTCTAAAATCTAAGCTCTTGAACCCCTTTTTTCTGCTGTGAGCAGTTCCTTGTGCTTCCACACACAAAAAAGTGACTACTGGATCCTAAGTGGCCAAAATAATTTCAAAAGGGAATAACACTGGAAGATTCACATTTCCTGATTCAAAATCCATACTACAACAAAGATATAGTAATCAGAACAGTGTGGCACTGGCATAAAGTCAAATAGACCAATAGAAAAATGCACCCTGACAGTAACCTTTGCACATTTGGTCAAACAATCTCTGTCTAATGAAGAGAAGGTAGTTTCTTCAATAAATGGTGATTTGGAAATCGGGCATCCATATGTAAAAGAATGAAATTGAACTCTTGCACCATATACAAAATTAACTCAAAATGGATTCCCTGTAAGACCTAAAAATTGTAAAAGTCCTAGAAGAAAACAAGGGGAAAGCTTTGTTGCTTTGGACTTGGCAATAATTTCTTGAATATGATAACAAAAGCATAGATGACAAAAGTAAAAACAGACAATTGTAACTACATTGAACTTTAAAAACTTTTGTGCATCAAAATATACAATCAGTGGGCAGGGGCTTTAGCTCAGCAGTTCGGTGGCCTGCCTTGCAAGCGCAAGGACCTGAGTTCAATCACCGGTACCGGAAAAAAAAATTATATATATATATATATATCAGTAAAGTAAAGAGGCAGTGGACAGATAAAATATTTGCATGTTACCTATAAGATAAGTTGCTGATATCTAGAATATTTACAGAACTCAAAGAAGCAAAAAGTAGAATGGCAGTTACCAGGGACTGGAGAGAGAAGGTGAAATAGGTAGTTGTTTAATGGATGTTCAGTTTGGATTTTGCAAGGTGAAAAAGTTCTGGAGGACATTTTCAAACAATGTGAACATGTGTTACACTGTTGAACTCATAAAACACTATCGAACAATTACACATAGTTAAAATGGTAAATTCTGTTATAATATTTTTAAACAGAAAGATGAAGCCACTGACAAGAGGCAGGGCAACCTAAAACTGGGAAACAGGGAGAGACGGGGACTTGGGTTTCAAGAGCAGAACCAGTCTGCAGACACGTCAGTGACAACCAAGGAGCCTTCTAGACTATTGATACCAACTCTTCACCAGGGACTACCTCTGCTACAGCATAAACTTCTCTCTTTTTTCAATTAATTTTATTGGTACATTTAAAGTATACAATATAATGACATTTATTGTTGGAAATTTGCACCTTTCCGTAATCAATCTTGGTTCTCATTTTCCCCATTCCCCTGCCCTTCTTTGAACCCCTCCCTCTCTCCCTCCCTGTCTACAAAGACTTTGTTTCCAGTTTTTCATGCTCTCATATTAATTGCATTCCCTTCTTTCCTTTCCCCTGCCCCTATAACATGGACTTCTGATGCCAAGGCAGCCTAAATTCTCAAAGTAATAAAGCCACACCTGTGTTCTAGATAGGCCTCTGGAGCTCAGGCTCGGTGGTAAAGACAGACTAAGCAGAGACTGATATCAATTAAGGATTAATGAGGTCTGGGGATGTAGCTCAGCGTGGTATAGGGCCTGCCTAACAAGCATGAGGCCCTAAGTTTGATTCCCAGTACAAAAGAAGAGAAAGCGTTAAAGAAAAAGATGCAAACAACCTGCTTCTGAGCTGGGTTTCGTACCCAGCAGAGCCCCTCCCTCACGATGATCTATTGAAAGTTGAGCCCTTAACACAAGGGTTTGTAACAAAAAAAAAGTGTTAATGAAAAAAATAAGGTGCTGTATCTTGGTGTTGATTTATTTAAATCTTTCACTATTATAGATTATAGATCAAGTTGTAATGAGGGGAAAGTTTGGGCAGGCATTGCTGCCACCCCTGCCGAGGCCATGATGAAGAGGGAGCCAACAAACCAGCCAGCCAGCCCAAGAGCAGCAGCTCATCAAGACTTCTGGTACAGCAAACTTCTCTATATCCAAGGACTGTCACGGATGGAGCCTGTCCACCCGCCACACCCCTCCACTTCCTTCTGTGGTCTGGGTACTAATTATAATCATAGCATCTGAGCTGGACACAGTGGCACACATCTGTAACCTCAGTATTCTGGGAGGCTGAGGCAGTCTGCACAACTTAGCAACTTAACAAGACCTTTTCTCAAAGTAAAAAATAAAAATATTTTTTTTTCTAAAGGCTGGGGACACAAAGGCCTTTGTGTAAAAGGTCTTTGAGCCTCTGTGCAAAGGCCTTGGAGTTTAATCCCTAGTACTAAAAAAATACTAATAACCATGGTACCTATACCAGGTGCTCCATACAAATCACCCTTACTCCTCACAATACCTTCCAACTCTTCACAGAAGAGGAAACAGACACAAAGAAGTTAAGTCACTTTCCTAGGGTCCCACACCTAACCAATACCCATGACCATGGGAGGACTAAAGAAGACTCCGTGCCAAGATGCCTAGTTGCAACCTGGACAAGTAGGACAGCTGCCACAGGTGTTGATCTTTAATGATACCTGGCAGCAGAATGGTATGCGCACAGTTCCACAGTTCCAAGCAGAGGGGTGCAGTCACTGAGGGTCATGGGCCTCTAAAGGGAAGAGACCATGCGGTAGATGGAATAGTGCCCTCTGCCAAGACGTCCACATCCTAATCCCCAGAACTGTGAATATGATACTTCCCGTGGCAAAAGAGGCTTTGCAGATGTGACTCAGATAAGAATCTTGGGATGAGGAGGTGAGCCAGGCTCACCTCATGGTGCCTGGGCCACCTGTCCAGACATTATTTCACTCGCAGTAGATTGGACTGAGTTTGCAAACCAGTGCTGGCTCTCAAACAATTGGCTTCATGTCTCTGGGTCACAAGTCAAAGCCAATCACAGGTCAAGTAAAACAGAGGACAGCTGAACAAGTTCATCAAACCCCCACCATTGCACAGGAAATGTACAAAGAATTAACAACTGGGATCACATCAGATTAAAAAGCTTTTACACAGCGAAGAAAACCACTGACCAAGGGAAGAGACAGCCCACAGCATGGGAAAAAAAACTTACCAGTCACTCCTCAGACAAAGGACTAGCATCTAGAACATATAAAGAGCTCAAAAAAGAAATCCACCTCCCCAAATTTAAACACCCAATCCAAAAATGGGCATCTAAAATGAATAGATGTGCTCGCTTTGGCAGCACATATACTAGAACTGGAAAGATACAGAGACGATTAGCACCGCCCCTGTGCAAGGATGACAGGCAAATTTGTGAAGCGCTCCATATTTTAAAAATAAAATAAAATAAATAGACATTTCCCAAATGAAGAAGTACAACTATCAAATAAGTACATGAAAAATGTGCAACATCACTGGGGAGTCATTTGAGAAATGCAAATTAGAACAACACTGAGATTCCATCTCACTCTGGAAAGAACGGCTATCATCAAGCAATCAACCACTGATAAATGCTGGTGAGGCTATGAGGAAAAAGGAGCCTTTATCCACTGCTGGTGGAAGTGTAGACTGGTACAACCACTACGGAAATCAGTATGGAGAGTTCCCAAGAAACTAAAACTAGAGATTCCACGTGACCCACCTGTTCCCTTCCTAGGTATCTTCCCGAAAGAGTTAAAAGCATCATTAGCACAGTGATATATGCATACCTATGTTTAGAGCAGCACAATTTATAATAGCTAAATATTGGAAACAGCCCATATGCTCATCAACAGATAAGTGGATAAAGAAAATACGGTATTTAAATATGTTGGAGAACAACTCTGCCGTAAGGATAAACTTGAGTTATTCGTAGGAAAATGGATGTACCTTAAGACCATAATCCTAAGTGAAATAAATGGGACACATGAGTTTAAATATTGCATTTTTTCTCTTGTGTAAGGAACTCAAAGGGTAAACAAGGAGCATAATGGAGGAGAGATACTGGGAAGTAGGAAGAACACGTCCAAATGGGGAGGGAGGAAGAAAAAGGAAAAAAACTCTAGAAGGGAAAAAACGGAAACAAAGCTTTTGTTAATGTGAGGGAAACAAGTTTGAAGGGAGAGGAGGGGCGTAGGAAGAAAAGAGAAGAATCAAGATATATTGCGTACAGATCCAAAGACCCTGTGATGAATGTGATCAATATGTATGACAAATGTGTACTAATAAAAAATATAAAGTTAAAGAAAAGGAATAAGACAATCTACATACCCGACAGAATGGCTAAATGAAAAAGACAAAACAAAACAAAACAAAACAAAATGTTGACAACAATTTAAAAAAGAAAACTGGAGTCCAACACAGACTTGCAAAAAGCCCCAGGCCCAGAATCAGAGCTAGAAGGAGCAAATGACTCAGTAACTCTTCTCCCACAGTCTCTGGATGTTGTCTGCCAGCACAGAGACTTCTGGCTTGCCAGCCCACGGAGCCACTGTCCAGGGGAACAAGGGCAGCCCCATCTGAGTCCCTGTTCAGCCTGAGGGGGCCAGCAAGGCCATGAGGAATGCCGAGGGGACTCTGACCAAGGTTCCAACCACCCAGAGAAAACCAAGAGGTGGAAACAACCTAGTGTCCGTCTGCAGCTGAGTTGTTAAAAAAAAAGGTGGGCTATCTACATGTGTAGAATTATTCAGCCAGCAAAAGAAAGAACATTTTGAGAGCTGCTACAACATGTAAAGAATTCAGAAACACAGTGTAAGCCAGGTGGCACACAGCTGTAGTCCCAGCATGCACTCAGGAGGCTGAAGCAGGAAGATTGCTGCAAATTTCAGGCCAGGCTGGGCTACGTAGTGAGTTTAAGGCTGACCTGAACTGTTTAGTGAGTCTTTGCCTCAAGAAACAAAACAAAACAAAAAAATGGAAAAAGAAATGCAATAGTAGGAGAAATAAGCCAGTCAGAGATAAGCAAATATTGTGTGAGTTCACTTGTATGATGTACTTAGCATAGGCAAAGCCACAGAGACAGACAGTCGGACAGAAATCCCCAGGAGCTGGAGGCAGGGGAATGAGCAGTGCTTAATGGGAACAGAGGTTTTGTTGGGATGATGACAAAGTCTGGATGAGGACAGTGGTGGCGGTTACACAACACTGTGAGCATAGGTTCTGTCACTGAGTTGTACACTTACAAAGGGTTATGTATGCTTTACCACAGTAACAGAAATGTTGAACAGAGAACGGCGTGCTGAGGAAGCAACAATCCATTCCATCCGGGGAAGGAGGGCCTGAGGAGTGGGGATGGGACGGGCGTGTGAGGCCCCCTGTAGGTCGCTCCTCCCCTGCTCCATCTCAGGCGCAGAGAGCTTGGGGCGGAGGGCTTTTGTGTGGAGTGTCTGAGGCCCACCTCCACCCAGTCTCTCTGCTCTTCCAGAACTCTTTGGCTCCCTCTGCCTGTCACTCAGTCCACACTCCTCGTTCTAGAACATTCTAATTCTAGAACCAATCTACACTTGGTTCCAGGCTGAGCTCCACACAACACTCTAGTATGTTGGGCCCCCGTTCACAGGGAAAACTGCAGTCCCAGTCTTGCAGCCACTCTTTCCTCCGGAAAGTCCTTCACTCTTCTACCCACCCAACTCCCATAGCTTTCAGTACCTGGAAACCCATCTTCTCAGATACCTCACGAACAATCCCTTTCTTCCTCTCACCTCTCTAGTTTCTCTGGTTTTCTTAGGTTAAAAAGTCTGGATGGGGCCGGGGATTTAGCTCAGCGGTTTGGTGGCCTGCCTTACAAGCGCAAGGACTGGAGTTCAATCCCTGGTACCAAAAAAATAAAAAAGTCTGGATGGCCTAGTGGATGAGAATGTACCCTCCCGAGTCACGCTCCCAGTGTCCCAAGCCTGGGTCTGCCAACAGCTCACCATACCACTGATGTACTTAATTCCTCTGGCCTCAGTTCTCCTAGCTGCAGAATGGGAATAATAACAGCACCCCCTGCACAGGACTGCACGAACAGTATTTGGCACATATGTACTTGACAGTTGGTAACTATCATTCTAACCATTACTTACGGCTTTGGTGTTAAATTTAATTTTTTAAAATATTTAAATGTTAAGGCTGGGGATGTAGAGCTCAGTGGCACTGTACCTGTCTGGCAAGCACAAGACCTTGAGTTCAATTCCTGATACTGGAAAAAGAAATTTGTATGTTAGCTCAGGCATTTTTAAGTGCCTTATTTAACTGAAAAACTAAACCCTGTGTCTCTTACCTTTCTCTATTTTCTCAACAGCCCCTTCTTCTATGCGCATTTCTCTAATCAGAATCCTCTCTGTGCTTAGGAATCAGCTGCCTCATCCTGATTTGCGCAGTGCTGCAGGAGAGGACCGGTGGCTTTCATGCCTTGAATCCCTGTACAACCACATCAGCAGGATGCTGCCTTCCCTGGACATTCTCCAGGAGTGATCATGGACTGACCGCTCCCTGGACTCCAAGCTCCCCTGGCTGCCTGTGTTGGTGAAGGCCTGGTTCTGTGCCTGCCAGAGACACAAGGATGTGAGGCCAGCACGGTAGTGCCAGGGCCAAGTGTAGGACACTCGTCCATGCTGGGCAAAGCAGCACGCTCCGGCACGCGAATGTCAATCTCAGACCGCTGCTCTCTCCAGAGGCCCAGTGGGATTCTTTCCCTTTTCAGTCCAGCCTTGACAGCAGGCACAGATTTAATGACTAGAAAGCACTTTCAGAAGCCAGAGTGCTCCATAATGGCCAACTCATAATCCTAAACTGTTCTCAGTGTGGCTGTAGGAGGTGAGGCAATTGCGCTCAGAGTCTTGCTTACTTAGTAACACTCAAACACTGAAACCAGGCCTGGTGCAAGTGAGCCAGGATTCGAGCTGACAGGGGACCCCATCCAAGCCTCGCTGAGCATGCTGGAGAGCAAGGCTTCTCAAACAGGCAACCAGGAAAAGAGGTGATGATAAAACTGTCAGTCCTTCCACACCGATTGACTCAGGGATCTCTGAGGACCACGACCCTAGGAGCCTATATATAGAGTTCACCAAAAAATGTATATGCCCTTCAACAGTTCACCATGCTAACAGATGTCTGGAAGCTCATGGCCACACTGAGCACCTCTTGTTAATTATAGAGGTCAAAGGTAACTCGTATTAATCTCACAAAGTCTCAGTAAATTTAGCATTAAAATACTTATACAAGTTTGTCTTTTCCTTCTGTATGTATTTTTTGGAAGACTCTATATTTTTATAAATTCCCCCTAGGACAACCCATACTCAGTCTGGGTACTGATGGTCAGAGAGGTAAGCAGGGTAGAAGACCCAGGGCAGGGTTGGCCTAGGTTTGAATATCAGCTCTGGTCTTTATTGCTGTAAGAACTTCAGCATGTCACTTAGGACCATAAGATATGAAATAGTTAAACTATTAAATAGTTTATATTTGTAAAGATTTCATAATCAAATAAGTTGAGGAGATGCTATACTTGACGTTGCCACTGAGATGACATGCGTTTAGAAAAGGGCTGAAAATCCCCTAGCAGGACTCTGCTTGACCCAGCACTTTCCCTAACTGTCCAGGAAAGGAAGCTGCATTCTACCACTAATGACAGAAACATCTCACAGACTTCCCGTCTCATGGGACACAGCTCATGGAATTCCATCCTGGGAGAAGGGACACCTAAGCATTGATGGGTGGCATCATGTCCTAAGAAGTCCCAAGGTGTTTCCGGAGGGAAGGACACCCTGGACGACCGAGGCCCACTTCGGAGCCCCACTCCTCGTATGCCACACCTCTGGAGCGGCTGGTGCAGTAACACAGCTCTGGACATGTTACAGTGAGGAGGTCACCTTCCTGCTTCGGGTAATTTCCCTTAGAGGCAAGACAGATCCATTTCCAACAGGGCTTCATTTCAGCAGAGAATGCCCTCCTGCCTCTGAGGGGGGTGCGCGGGCGCCAGGAAGAGAAGCTTTGTTCTTCTGACCAGTGCTGACAGTTTAATTAAACCCAGCTTGAGACAGGGTCGCACGGGTCAGGCATTCTTCATCCGGGCTCAGCAGAGTCTCACAGCCACCAAGCCTCTCCAACCATCAGGGCCCTGTTAATGAGTTATCATGGTCCTTACAGAAAGGTATAAATAAGGGAAAACAGACTCCTGGGGCTACCCTTCATCACCCACCCTTCCAGGCTCAGCCGAGATGCAAAAGGTCAATCTTGTTGAGACACATACTGGTTTCAAGGCTAAAAGGAAACCCAGAGAAACTAAGTTTTCACAAGCAGCTCTGGAGGAGAAAGGAATACAGCCAGCCAGAGGAGCCCGAATGGGGTGGTCAGAGGCTCAGGGCCAGGAGGT